TATAAGAAACACTACTTAATTATAAATTGTTCATATTACATTTATAATTATAATAATTTTATTTTATTACAACGCTATATACATTTATTTTAAATTTTTAATAGAGCATTGATTTATATGTACTGAAGTTAATTCTGATTCATGATAAATATTAAATACATATTATATATGTATATAAAAGAGGAACAATATATAAACTGTTTTTCATGTATGCATTTGTAAATTATTAATAAATGTAAAAAAAATGTGAATTAAATGTGAAATAAATATGAAACAAATGTAAAAAAAATGTTTTTACAATTTTGTTAATGTAAATGTCATTTTAAAAACTATATTTATTTAAAAATAATTATATATACATATATATTTATAAATACAAACAATAAATTTTGTAAAAGATAAGGTAATTATCATTATTACATTAAAACGTTATGTGACATATATTTTTACATTTCTTTAATATTAATAATACATTAAAAATAACTAATAAATAGTTACATTATGTAATATAAATATAACATAAATTCTGCCTCGCGGTTATATATATATTAATTTGTAATACATTTTTTACATTTAATTTTTAAAAATACATACGTTTTAGAATATAAATGACATTTTTAAAACAATATTTTGAAAAACTAAATATAAGTTCATACATATATTTATAAATATCAAAATTCTATTCTAAAAGTATCAAAACTATCTCTAAATATTCTAAAACTAATAGAAAAAAATATAATTTACATAAAATGTTAATGTAAGAAATAAATTTTTCATTGTAAAGTAAATATTAAATAAATGTCAATTAGTAATTATAAAAAATAAATATTTCGTAAAACATTAAAACGTTCATGTAAAACATTTTTTACATTTAATTGTTCATTATATATATTTATATTATAAATGTATTGTACATGTTGATATTGATTTTATATACGACCGCGAGACAAAATTGATTAAACTATCGATTATAGCTGATCAGTTTGTCGTGCGCATATGTCGATCGATATTTGAATCGATATTCTCGCACGTGTGTCGCATGGTCGCACCATATACACTGCCAATGCTGTTGCTAACTGCGTTCGCGACATATCTCTTCGTTCTGTACGTGGAAACTATGTTTTTATCGCTGATGCGATTCCAAGCTCGATCTTTATAATTAGAAAGTCGAAAACCTTCGTGGTAAGTGTTTTTTATCCCAACAAAAAGCGATTAAGTCGAAGTACTAAGAACTTCAAATTATATACGCTATCGTGTTCCAATAAGTGACAAAGCGGTTATAAGTGAAAATTTACGAAGACCCCCCGAGCAATCCTAGCCTGACATTCGCATATACGCGTTGTGACAAAGTTGAAGAATTTCTCCATTCTGCTGTCATTTGTAAGTATTATACATACTTTGTTCTAATAGTAAGTTGAATAATTCTCACTTTATTCTCTTTATTGTTGTACATTCTGAAAGATTTGGAGGCAGATTTTTTGCAAGAAACTTGCACTACTCGTAGAGAAAGTATAAGCCTTATGGGGGTATCTAAAACGTTTTTAGCTCAGAAATTCGCTGAGAAATTCAAGTGTCCGAAGACACCTGCCGTCTGGGACTACTTAAACTTCTCTTATTTGCTGCAAATGTCTTGCGATAAAATTGCTTTAACAATTAATAAGGCACTGTCACACAATTATATCGTGTAGCATTTTTTGTCGCAATAAGATTTACGTACAAGTTTATTGCAAGAATCTGCCAACAGTATGCTTTATTATTTATTTATTCATTTATTTAATAATGGGATAAACCTTAATTACAGAATAATTTAACAGAATTTTAATTAGTAGCGTCAGTGAGAAAAATAAAGAAAAACGTCTACTCTATCTTAATATCTTAATTAGCAAAAACCATAAATAAAATATATATTGTATATATATATATATATACAATATATATTGATACATATATGATGTACTATCAATATTTTTCATTTATATATATTTATAGTTGATTGTTGCTTTGCAGTAAAAAACTTTTTTTTTAAGGTTATAGTTACTTTACTTCCGTCGAATCATGCAGGCTGCGTTCATTTTGGGTGCTCACGCGCTGTAATTTTCTTAAAAATATAAATTATTACAATAATTATTAATAATTGTAATAATTAATTATCAATAATTATTATAATTAATGATTAATTATTAATTTTAAATTATTATTTTCAAATTATATAAATTTTGGAAGGGAACGTGTTTGTTAACTAACAATAAAAAATTATTAACAAAAATGGACAAATTAAAAAATTGTTAACAATTTTTTAATTGATATTTAATAACAAACGCATCCCGGCTCTTTCAATTTTTTATAATTCAAGTCCACAGTTTTAAGAGTGTATATAAAAATTTATTTACTTGACCATTTTCTGCGTTCTATCGATCATAGAATTTGTTTGTTTAAAATGTTTTAATAAATTACCTTAATTATTGTTTATAACAGTTTTCTGCATTCGGTTGTGATTATTTCTAATTATTAAGTTTCTAATTGATTCCAAACATTTTAATAGCGCAGAATATTTTTGTCCCCAGGTATTGTTTGGTTCCCTGATCGGTTTGGCAACCTGATCGGTTGCTATTTGTGGCTGTTAACTTGAACATCGTTTTCATTCAGTGTTTTTGAAGTAAATAAAATTTTTCAAAAATCCAATTAAATTCCAAATATATTTCTAAATGGAATGAGGAAGATCTGGTGCACCAATGAATTATGTGGAATTTTGAAGGAAATTAACAAAGAAATGTGTTTACAAGCATAATTTTTGTATTTCCAAGATACGCCTAAAGTTGATCGATTAAAATGATTATTGATTTTTTAAGCATAATTTCTTCTTTATTTCATTTATTGCATACGAAAATGGGATTTAATCAAAAATTTTAAGTTTACTTTTTAATTTTTAATTTAATGTAAATGTAGTTGTAGATTTTAATTAACTGTGACTTATTTAGCAATTTTATATTTCATTATTTTTAAAGGCAAACTTACACTCCAAGATTTAAATTGTCACAGTTCTAATTTCAATATTATTCACTTTTTAATAATTAACCTAAAAAATTCTTGTTATCATAATCAGTTTTAGACGTTGGGGATTTCTAAGCATTAATACTTGACTATAAATCTATATCCTTTTAATAATAATTATGGTAGGCATTTGTTCCTCTAATATTATTTTATTTGTTTTTTGTTCCTGAACTGGCTTGAACTGCCTGTACTAGTTTACAATTTATCTTTTTTCCTTTATATTACAAAAAGAAAGATAAACTCAGAACTAGTGGAGCCAGTTTAGCAATAGAAAATAAACCTATTGCCTGTGTACATTGATACACTTATAATTTCAGTTTTTACTAAGGAGATCATGCCAAAAGATGTCCCATTTTATATGCTGTCCAATAAGGCCAAAAGAAAGAGAATTGAAGATGAGGAATGTAATTCAACCGATTCTTCAATTGACAATGCCATCGACAGGCATGATATCGAGCTACCTGATTTTTCTAACTATCAACATTCAGAGGGTTTTCTATGCAACAATCCTGAACATTCTGAACTTTCCGAACGATCTGAACATTCTGAACATTCTGAGTTTTCTGAACATTCAGAACTTTCTCATTTTGAATATTGGAGTAATAATGATTATGAAGATGATATTTTACATGAAAATATCAATCATGATGAACTTCCCCAAGATCCGCAATCGTTATCTAATTCTTCGAGCTCTTCCCAGTCTAGTGAAAATTCAGTTTCCTCGAAATTGATGATTCTAAAATTTCTTCGTGGTTGGGCTTTAAAGCACAATATAACACATGCAGCAATTTCTGACTTGTTAACAGGTTTGAAAGAGAATCACGAGTGTTTTGCCGATGAATCAGAACCCAGATTCCCCATAAGTGCGCGAACGTTACTTCAAACAGAAGTGAAATTGAAAAAGAAAATTGTCGAACCAGGATATTATATACATATAGGATTGAAAAAACAATTATTAAAAATTGCTCCTAAGTATTTTAAAAATGTAATCACTTTTAAGTTATTGGTAAACATAGACGGATTACCTCTATTTAAAAGTTCGCCTGCTCAAGTATATCCCATTTTATGCAGTGTAGTATCAATACCTGAATTGCGTAAGAAAGTTTTTCCCATAGGCATATATTATGGCAAAGAGAAACCTTATGATATAAATAAGTATTTGCAGGATTTTATTGAAGAAATTAATAATCTTATCGAGCATGGCCTCCATTTTGAGAATTACACTGTATTTTTAGATGGTACTTATTTTGTTTGTGACGCGCCAGCGAAGAGTTATGTAATGGGAACGGTATCGCACACAGGTTTCAATTCCTGTACTAGGTGCACTGTTCGTGGTGTCACCTCTGATAATCGACGAATTTTCGTTGATTTGGAATGTCCAGCTCGCACTTGTGAGGATTTTCTAGAATGGAGAGATGATGATTTTCGCCGTCGAGCCACTCCACTGACCAATATTATAGGTTTAGATTTTGTACATCATTTCATTCTCGATTATTTACATTTACAATGTCTTGGTGTAATGCGTACGATGATATTGAATATGTGGTACAAGGGATCAATTCCTCATAGACTTTCTGCTGCTCAGATTGAAATGCTGTCGAACCATCTTGTTGAGCTTCAATGTCACATTCCTGCAGAATTCGCAAGAAAGTGTAGAGAGCTGTTCATTGTTTTACGGTGGAAAGGGACAGAATTCAGATTATTTATGCTATATGTAGGCCCAGTTGTACTAAAAAATATTCTAAGTAAACAAAAATATGTTCACTTTTTAGAATTTCATTGTGCGATGAAAATTTTATTAAATCCAAATCTGTGCAAAAAACGGGAGCTTCGACAATTTGCTAAAGATATTTTGAAACATTTTGTTCAATCGACTGAAATTTTGTATGATAAAAATTTTATTACGCATAATTTTCACAATAACATACATATAGCTGACGATGCAGACTATTTTGCCGACAAATTAGTTAACTTCAGTCTGGATACAATATCTGCATTTCCCTTCGAAAATTACATGCAAAGCATAAAACGAAAAGTTAGAGCACGCAACAGGCCACTTGAGCAAATTGGCCGAAGACTTGGAGAAATCATGTCATTCGAGTCCGAAAATCCAATAGTAAGACCACAAGATTATGTATTTCCTAAACTTTTTTCTCCGCATAATGCCGGTCCGGTGCTACCAGGTTGCAGGCGCCAGTATCGTGGTGCTGCTTTTCCTCTATTTAAAATAACAAATAATGCTCCCGATAATTGCTGTGGTACTGACGACGGTGTAATTATTCAAGTTGCAAATGTAGCTTTTTCTGATCATTTGCAGGTTCCAGTTGTAATCGGTAGGGAATTTGTTAGCAAACGTGACTTTTATAATGTACCTATTGAAAGTTCTCGGGTAGGAATATTCAAAGTTAAGCAATTGTCTAATCTGAAGGCATGGCCATTGTCACAGATTACTATTAAATATGTTCAGTTGCCGTACAAAACTGCCTACATTGTATCATCAATTTTACATTGTGACACGCTTTAATTTCATAATATCATGTTCTGCATTGTAATAATTTTTGTTTTCATTATCCTCTTTCTCATCTTTCTTTTTCTTATCATTTCCTATTTTTCATCTTTAAGGCTCGATATAATGTTCTAAGATGTGTATTCATGAAAATTATGAGTGTTAGGTAAAGTAACATGTTAGATAAAGTAACATATATTTTGCATATGGCATGATACTTGTTGGCACTTTCTTAATGAAAATTATAATGCAGTATTAAATAAAATATATTTTTTGTCTTATTTTTAGAGAGTTTTATCACATTTGGCTATCTGGGATATATCACGATAATATTATAAAATACATTTGAAAATTATTTTTAGCTAATATATTCTTTATACTGAATTGTAAGATTTCAGAAATATTAACATTTATATTATTTATATTTCAATAGAACTTTCGAATGATGGAGTCGAAAGAATCAGGAAAAGATAGCTCATTAGTTGTTAGTCATAAAGAAACATCGCCATCTTGTAAAGAACCTTGCGATGAAATAAAAATATGGGCTATTGTTGAATTCGATGCACTAGAGGAACATGATCTCGAGGGATTTATCGACCTTGTCCCATCAAGATGGATTACAAGTGGAAAAAGACTTTGCTGGTACCCCATGAATCACCATAAATCCAGCATTGAAAAATTAGCAAAGATATGTGGAGAAGTAGATCCGAAATGGGACTGTTTTCCGATAACAATTATTGAAAACGGCATTGGTAAGTTTTTGCAGGATCCTTATTCTTATGTAATTTATCTTTTTTCAACTGTACATATTTTGATGCCATCTTCTCTCTACTTTTTCAATCGTATTTAATAAATATTTCCGCCTTTATTGGCGATTTCCTCGATTGGCCAAATGAATAATTCAAAGTATAATTTAAAATTTAATTTCTAACGTCTCGACTTATATTTATTAATTTATATTAATCCTTGTAACGTAACGACATATTAAACTTATTCAATTAAATATTATACTTTACATTATTTATTTGACCCAAACCGCCAATAATAAAGGAAAATACGAGTATTTATACTCGTATATATTTATACATATTGATGCTATTATTTTAAATTCGTGCGATTGCAGATAACTACAATAAGGGCATGAGAATGCTCATAAAAGTTTCAAAAAATCCAAATTCGACGTTACTTTCGGACGTAGAAGAAAAAGGAAAAGGCAGAAGAAAGAAGAAACCAAACAAACGGTTTCATGACTTTATTGACGATACTGAAGATTATGTAGTGGAGATGAGAAAAAAAGCACAGCCTGTAGTACCACCGATTCCAAAATTGGCATCAGCTGCGAACATGCCGGCTTTTCATGTTCACAAAAATAAAGATAATGAATTTCCAAAGGAATCAAATACTGATCTTCTAATTTCGAAACATGGTGTACTAAACGTGAATTCAAAAAACGCCTTCCACGTACCGACGAAGAATGCTCGTTTGCCTTGTAAAGAAAAAATCACGCAGCAACTTCCTTTTGTGGAAAATCGCCAGGAGCCTGTAACTACAATTTCCCCCGCTAGCATTAATAAAGAAAACATCGGTCATAATAGAAAGGGATGTAAGATGCACTCAAAAGCTACGCACAAATGCGCATATACTTGTGACGGCGAAGTCACATTGCAATCTCTTGCGGATGCAATCTGCTTTCTCGGCAGTATGTTGATATTTTATCTATTTCATTTACATTTATCAATTAATAATTAATATGGCGCCGTATCATTTTTTTTGTTTTTTATGTTTTTAAATGTATATATCGCTTTTGTATAATCAGCCTTTTTGTATAACGCCAAAAAATATATGATTTGAGTTAGATCATTTATTGAGATCGGAAGAGCACACGT